ATATTTATATACAGAGACCTGCACATTCCGGTGGCAGTAAATTTTTGTTTTAACAATTATCGATAATACTAGCCTCCGAAACCATTACGGTGTGTTCGGACGATCGCTGCTCATTGTTCAACATACAAGTTATGAACTGTTTAATTATCCCAAACTTCCGTGCCACAGTTCAAACGGCTAGCACCCGGCTTCCCACCGCGGCGGCCCGGGTTCAATCCACACTCAGGTCATGTTTGATTTGTCGTGGAAAAATGACACTGCAACAGTTTTTCTCCGAGTACTTCGGTTTTATCTGTCACCTCTAATTCCAGCGCCTGCTCCACATTCATTAAACACCATATCATAGGCGCAACATAGCCTCGACACTGTCGGCGTCGTGAAACAACGAATTTAAGAGCACTATCTCGGAAATCTGGAAAAATGGTCAAGAAACTGTTAAAATGTATATTCTACACAAAGCATTTCACTTTTTCTGTATATTATTTTGCGCTATAACCAATTAATATTCGGCTAGTTATGCATGCGGGCTTGTGTGTAAAGTGTATGCTATATTTGTACAGTTAAGAGGATAGGCATGTATAAACACATTTTATTAATCACCCCAACATCACATTTATACAAGAAGTTCTAGGAAGATATAATCGTCCACTTTCCTTCCGCTGTAATTTAAGTACCTGATACGATCCAGAAATAACACTTTAGTGTGTACGAGTAAAAAAAAAAGTAGAGCTATCCCTGTAACAGACCGTGAGGGCCCACTGGGGTGTGAGACGTCGATGCTCCCACATTTTCCCTAGACAACCGGCTCACAGATAGCGGTAAGGTTGTCAGCCTTACGCGCCGGCCGCCCTTCACCCCTCAGGAAGTTCCCTAGTACTCATTTCTATTAGAAGCTGAGTCGAACCTAGGGCCATAGTGCGGCTGGAAGGATTAGGTAATTTGGAAAAATCGACCTCACCAGGACTTCCGGCTTGTAGCATAGTGCCCCAGTATGTATGCGTAATGAAGTCAATAAAACAATACAATTTTGGACGCTGTGGCGTTAGTATTACCTATGGGACTGATTTACGAAGTACACTGTTGAAGTGGGTTCAGGTGGCATGATATACATACCAAGTCTCATAATGATTGGTTCAGGCTCTCAGTAATAATATTATTACCTGAACATTTTGAGAGGCTGTAATATTGGTTTTAGTATTCCAAGGGATTTATGAAGTTCGCCGTTGAGATGGCCTCAGTGGCCATGGTTTCGTGTAAATTGCTAATTGTTTTGCCTCAGCAATCTGAAAGACTGTAATGTTGCTATTACTGATGGGAGGGATTTATGACGTACGCCTCAAGCGGGTTCAGATGGCATGATATGCGCACCAAGTTCCATTAACGATATGTTAAGGCATGTAAGTAACATGACGGTCATAATCGCAATGTGAGGATGTAATGTTGGTATTACTGATCAAATTTGAGAGACTGTAATGTTGGTTTTACTGGTGGAGGAATTTATTAAGTGCGCCGTTGAAATGCCTTCACGCGGCATGATATACCTACTAAGTTTCATGAAGATCGATATAGGCGTACAAGCGATATTAGATTTTTGCCTCAGCAATTCGAATGGCTGTAATTTTGGTATTCCCGATGGCAGGAATTATGAATTATGCCGTTCAGATTGGCTCCGGTGACATGACACACACAAAAATTCGTAAATATTGGTACAGGCGTTCAAACGGTTTTTTTTATTGCTAGTGGGGTGGAACTATTACTGGTCAAGTGGGATTTGTGGTGGACAAAGTGGCGTCGGGGTGGGTTTTCTCCGAGTACTCCATTCCACCAATTTCTCCATCATCATAATCACACAATAGGCCAATCAGTGGCCGCCGTGCCGAGTGGGCCCAGTTGGACTCCACCCCCCACTAAGCGAATTAAAAAAGAAAAGAAAAAGAAGGATAGGGCTACTTCTGTTTTCTCACCGTTCAATGGTTCTCGAGCTGCTGCGTGAGTACAGACAGACAGGCGGACGGTGCCAATTTAAGGACCCTCTTCTGCAGGGTAGCGAACGCTTCTAAGAGGATCGTATCAGTGTAACAAGACTTGTAGGTTCCTTCCAGTCCAGAGCTGAGAAGACTAACAGGGTTGACACAGGAAATCAGATGCTATTCTTACAATGACACAACACTTTCCTTGCACTCGGGGCGTATTATTTCGATTTTTGACATAAGAACACTTACCTGAGCTGCACCAGGTTATTTTTCACAGTCCCTTCAATGAAGGTAACCCCACTAAAACAGACACTAAAGCTTTCTTCCGCATCACTTGTTATCACCTCACCATATCCCATTCAACGCCTCATAATTTATGCACTTGAAACAAAATCTAATAATCTATAATTCCGTGCGTTTAGCCATGTCAGGAAATTTAAGGCACTTTAGGATGAAACTGAGGCCATACTCAGTATACAGCATGAAAAATTACACGGGTTTTAATCCTGAAGTAACATTTTGAGGGGTTTCTTAACAACTGACCATCTTATAAACGGCAAGCCGTAGTGGGGGATGGAAGAGAAAAACAATCCTTTGCTTTCAACAGTGTGTGCCAGGCGAAGAACACTGCACCCGTTCCCACATAGGACACAGGTGCCCAAAATGCATACGAGAAAACTGTACCCACTATATCTTGTACCCAAGAAAATTACAACTGAATAAAAATGTTTATTTCTGCTCGCCTTTTACTCAAACAAAAGAATTGTTGACAAAATTTTCAACGCGGGACCAATAAAGTACACAGGATACTCATTAAACCACAAGAAAAGAGAAAATGATAAGCACATAAATATTTTTACTTTAGTACAGCATAAAAAGTTGCAAATTATTCAATCTGTGATAACAAAATGGTTACAAGAAAATTATTTTCTAAACCGTGAAGAAATAAACGGAGGGGCCTTTAAGTTCATTTTTCTATTTCAGTGTCTTTAAATACGGATATTTTAGAATCTGTACGGCCATACTGTTCCTCGGAAATATGTGTAAAACAAATATCGACGCATTTAGTCGGAGGAATAAAAGTGAGAACAATTTATATTAACCATCTTTTCCGCACAGAAAAGCTGTGGGCGAGTTAGCGCCAAAGTATCTACGCTATCTTAAGCTGGTATGGAGAAACTGAAAGACGTCCAAGATGTTCATTTTTACACGCGTGTTTCATGTAACGTTTAAATTAATTAATAAACATTAGCTAGCAGGTACTTCACAAATATGTTCACCCTGTAAAACATGAGTAGACGAAAAAGATGGCGTACATCAACGTAACTTTAGCACCCTTTTCCATAATAGAATGCAATTAAAATAGCCACAGAAGGCTTAAAACCATGTACATATACACATTCTCTAAACTGCGGGTCGATAAATAAAAGATTGCTTCTTTAATTTTTATCCACAACTTTCAGTAAATAATGAAATTATGTTATTATATTCACCACTAAGTGCTGCATGTAAATTTTAGTTTATATATCATGCTAATATATACTGGGAAAAATATACTCATATTTGTATCACTCCGATCTTTCAAAATCTCACACGGTAATTAAAAATTAGAGTTATTCGCATTTATGTGAATCACGCTCAGAAACACTCAGAATTAAATGGAACATTGAATCTCTCGAACCATCGACTCGAGCAGGTGGTGAGTTTCTTAAATTGGCCCACGTACAAATAATGGTAGCTCGTCACTGTAGGGCCTGTACCGACTAATACTGATTACAGAAAATGCAAATAAGTCAAGCCTAAACAAATCTGCTGATAATACCTTCAAAACCCCAAATATATCTTTTAACCAACAGGCAAAACTTTGCTCCTTACAGTCTGTATCATAACATTACTCCTGTAAAAATAGTTAGGATATCTAAGTGAGGATCTCATTGTACACCCCGCCATTGGTGGCTAATGCCTCTGTAGTGCCTTCGAATAAAGCATGGGTTATTTCTGACCAAGCCTTTCAAATTCACCACTGCTGAACATCCACTCACCTCGTTTCACTGCACATGACCTCTCAGTTAAAACACTGTCATATAATAATTATTAAATAAATAAAAATAAAAATCATTAAGTTTAATAAATCACATGACTGAAATAGTGTGTCTCAAATATTTTTGTCGCCTACTTTCGAAAGTTAGCTATGTTCTCCCATTTTGATGAAACTTTAATTTAACCGATAAATTTATGACACTAAATATAAAATTTCGTCCAAACCCATTCAAAGGTGATCTACGTATTACAAACTGGGTGCACAAGAATAAATAAAACTAATGTACGGGCATTCCTTGCAAACAAGCACTTCAAATTCCAGGTAACTCAAGAGTAAAGGCTATATAAGGTAAAGATGTTCCTGTGCTTAATTAATTAAACACCCTATCATAAAGGCGTACAGAGAAGTGGAGGTATATCTCCACCTTGCCACTAGAGGATGGGTAGCTTCTTACCCCGGCCGCTTTAAGCCCGGGGAAAACAGTCCCCGTACTCATTGTATAGGAGGCTGGGTGGGCCTCAGGGCCGATCTGAACGCGGTGGGGAAGAGAAAAATCTCTAGTCCCTGCCGGAAATCGAACTCTGGCCATCAGCCAGTCGCTATACCGACTGAGCTGTCCCGGCCGGTCCCAGTTACTGTGTAAAGTATATAATGTCGTAAAATGTAAAATTCCTTCATAATATCGTTTTCAATACGAGTGGTAAGTCCACATCCCCGCAGTGAACAATGCTGTACGTAATACAACACACAAAAATATCATATGAAACTTTTACACTCGAATAGTTTAATTTTCCCACGCTCTTTTTTTTTTATACTTTCCTAACCAAGTTTATCTCCCACACATAACAATTGTTTTGATGTTGCGCTATAGTTAAACATTAAGATAAACCAATGTGAGAGTTCAAAAGAAATAACTGGTTCTGGTACAATTAATTTATTCACAAGAACTTCATATAAACTGCATTCCTTTGACAACACTCACATACCTCTTATTCTCTGCACCGACCTTCGTCAAACTCGCATGAGGACTGAAAGTTGGAGAGTTACTGTGTCTTCACTGCTGTTACTAGTATCATACTCCCTCCCCACCTACACAGCAATCAGCCGAAGTGTAAGAATGGTGGAAACTTTTCCTGTCAAACAATGTCCGAGTACGGTTCCGTGTCTATAAACAAATTCCTAACTATCAGAATATCTCATTCAATTAGGCAGCCACAGGCGCTGAACTTGTCCAAGGGAGTCGGCTTAATAAATGGAATGGCAACTTCATTTAATTGTTCCCATCTTCACAAACGCAGTTATACTCGGTTGCACCAGCGATGGATTCCATAATAAGTAAGAAAGTATGATTTCGGTTCTTTGAACGACTGTAATCTCTTTCAAAATCACATTTTTTGAGGGCAGTAGAGCAGCGGCGCTTTTCTTTACAGTTGCAGTACAGTACTTGTTTAATTTCTTAGCTACTTGAGCCGATTTCTTAAGTGTCGACCGGGAACGAGAGAAAATATGCCGGATTTATTATTTTTTTCGCTTAACGTAACTCGCGGCACAAAAATTTGTATCAATTTGTGAAAACTATAATGCGTATGATAATACTGGTTCATTTGCTCCTTCTTGACTTACATTCAGGTTACTTTGCCTCGAAACTGAATAAGGGCAATTATGGAAGTAAATTAATTGTATTAAAATATGTTATTGTTGTGACTTATTCAAGCTAAGATTAAAGTACATATCAACGTATTACTGATTCTTATTGTTATTAATAGCACTGTTGCTGTTGTAGTCTTCGAAATCGTTAAAAGAAGCTTATAAAAAGTTAAACAGTTCCGTCCAGTGTAATTAATATCTGACAATGTATTCCACCTTGTGCTTAAATTGTACATACATTAAAGCGCCATCCGCTATCTTTGCGACCCTCGCTCTACAATACTAAAGGAAGGAAATTGAGCTTTGCTGTGGCTTTATCTCTGATTTGCACCCTAACAGCTTCCGGCGAGGCGCCTTGCTTCCGGTTAATAGTGGGTGGCACGATAAAAGAAAATTCAAGCTGCCATAAAGTATCGCTGTCGCTTCATATAAGTTTTACGAACATGCTACAGACACCTATCAAGAATTCCAAAGTGAAAACTGTCAACCATTAACACAAAAAAATTGTTATAAACTGAGACTGAAGACTGACCTGTATTAAACCTAAGACTGGCAAAGTTCCCCTCAAAGACGCATTTTAAGGTACTGTCCCAGCACTTCACTGGAGCAACTGAGGAAAACGACAATAAATTTACGATAGCTGATACCATGGCCGAGATTCGCATTACCTAGCTTCGGAATGCCAAGCTGGACAGTTTGTCCTCAAGGGCCTTGCATATATACATCTACTGTTGACAGAACTACTCACGTTATCATACACAGCTCAAAACAGAGTCCATACCCACATTGGTAAACAATCTATGCTTATTAACATGTCAACATTAAAAAATGGCGACTCTGTCGGTGCACTGTATATTACAACTGCGGAAAACAACAGAGCATAACAGTAGCAACTTTCTCTCTCTCTCTCTCTATATATATATATATATATATATATACACACACACTATATAGAGCTGTTCCTGTCATGCATCCTTGTATGTATGTATGTATATAAGGAGCCGGGATAGCATAGTCGGTGTACCGACTGGCTACGGGCTGGATGACCGAGGGGTTGGAGTTCCGAGTCCCAGTACGGTCAAGAATTTTATCTTCTCCACATCTTCCAGACCGCCTCTGGGGTTCACCCTACCTTCCATCCAATGGGTACCAGGGGTTCTTTTCCCCGAGGGTAAAGCGACCTGGACATTAAGCTGACCACTCTCCTCCAGCTAGTTCCAAGATCAACAAAATGTGTATCTATACATCCACTCCTCCATACGCCTTCACGGCATAATGCTTAATTACTTAAGCACAGGTACCTTATCTTTTTTATATTTATACATACTCTACATATATATATAATGCTGCAATGAAAAAATATAATTATATCCAGTCTGTACTTTAATAATTGCCAGTTGTAACTTGATAGGTGAGCTGAAAACTTCATGGAGGTAGGCCTAGGCCCACTGGGTCTGTAGTGCCAAGGAAAAAAAAAACTTGGATAAACTTGACTTTCATAGTTCTCTCTTTTTAAGTATTTATGTTCTATTTGAATTGGACCCTGATGCAAGTGATTTTATTTTTGTAATTGATTTCTTTTATGAATTGCATTCATTACACTGAAAGGCACTGAATACAGTACTTGAATTCGTTAAAGGTTTAATGAATAATGAAATATTATTTTATAAAAGTGTACATTGTAGAGTCTGTATTTGTGACATGACGCCTGAAAGCCAGAATAGTTAATTGCTAGGCAACTGCTTGGTAAACATATTCCCAAAGAAGAAAACACACTATAGAACAGAAGGGATTTCTGTGGTCCACATCACACTCGTTGGTACACAATGATGTGGTAAACACATTTCTGCATCAGTGAAATCAACACGCAACAACATATGAAGCAGTGTCTTCTGTGGAGACCACCCCCACATCACTGTACCACTCCATTTGAATTTTGCCAAACAGTAGTTAGAAGTGTGAAACTTGTTATTAAACCAACATCCAGTAATTTGAAAACATATCATCACATTTATGTGGTGACTATACGAGATAGTATAGGGTTTGGATTTATGGATGAATTTATTGACCACTTATACACACATCTTGAAAGTACAATTACAGCACTACCACTAATCTCCACAATTCACAATCACCACAGCACCTGCTATGCATTTTACAGCCTGCTGTGTCTTCACCGGCCATTCCCTGGCAACAGTTTCTAACAGTGGAGATTCTTCAGCTTAATTTGCTCAGGTTTGATGTTCACCGCCTCCTGTCCAGAATTCTAGTCAACCAAACTATAGTGTCATCTCTTCTCAGTCTCCCTTGCAGAACTGAACTGACTCAACCGGATTGCCCCAACTGTCTTCCTTATAACCTCTCTGTATGGATCGAGTATAAAACACCGTTTCCAGCAGTAATTCTATTGTTGTGTGCATATCCGTTGCCTAGAAATGGCTGTTGTTTATTCGACTGTCTCACAGTCATTGCATAGCAACAACTGTAAATGCTACAATATGGTCCCTACTTCAAGCTATCAATGGAAAACTAATTCTTACATCAAAACAAGATCAAGTTCACATGCAGCAAAATATAAAGTTCTGTTAACACTGGTGTTAAGAATAAGTACTGATCTGACAATCTGATCTTACTGCAATAATGGAATATTAGGTATCATGAACACCTGCCAACAGAATATCTGTTCCAATGTACTCGACACTTTTCAGTTTCAGATGTAGACATTTTTAATTAGAATTACATGTACATATTGTTTTAAAGCATTTTGGAAATTTTATTTTAAACTACATATTTTTACCTTCTGTTGGCAGAATTTTCTTGCAGGTCACACAAGCCATCTGGCAGGCTGCATGAAGCCCATGGAAATCAAATTTACCAACTACGATGTCTGACAGGCTGCATGCAGCCCATGGGAATCAAATTTAACCAAGGAAGGGCATTATTGTTCCTTTCACTAATTCAGAAACATATTTATTTTGTGATGCATAACAGCTCAACTTTAATATATGAGAAGGAAAAGCTGCACTCAAATTCAAGTGAATTACAGCCCACAGCGCAAATTCATAGCAAGTACAAGTGTTCCTACAGTATCATATATAGTCCATATAACAAGACAGTGTAATAGATTAATATAGCACCAAGCCATTTCTTTTCTGTAAAATAACACTGCAATATTTGTATCATACTAGCATTTAGTTAAGTCTCTCTTTTCATACCTACAAAAATTCTTGCAGCTGGGAACATGTTAAATACAGCATCAACCAAATTGTTAATTTTCAAATACCATAATATAAACACACTGCATTCACATAGTAGGCACAACATACATTACAGCTCTTACTCAATTTCCATGAAACCATTCTCTTTTCCAATAATGGAATGGTCTCCATACATAATTATTATTTTGGTAGCTGAAAACAAAAGTACATACAACTATACTGTTATTCAGTCATTAAAAAGAGCCATTATTTTATGTTATTTCTTCTAACAAAAAATATGCAGTCCATCAAATCTGTGACATTAGGGTAGGTTTAAAAAATAAGGCTGTCTATAACAATATTCAGAAACCTTTTTTATGGCTTTACAGATATTTCCAAAAACATTATATGAAATTATGAAACCAATTAAATCATACATCTCTCTCTCTTTCAGGGAGACACATTTTCAAAACCCCTACAAATGCAGTGAAATCAAACATAGCATATCAACTTCTTGAAACCACTAATCACTTAATATTTGCCGCTGACTTTTGTGCAAAATCCCCTGCCATCACACCTGTAATCATGAGGGCAGCAATGGCTAAGATCTGAGCAACAGGTTGCCTGCAACAAATATATGAGATACTTAGGTTAACTACTGTGTACAAAATGACAGTTGGTATTTTAAATGTTACTACTTCAGAGTCCACTTCTTGTTTTTCGGTCTTGAAGGGGCACCATACTGACAATGTATAGCTATCATGATGCCTTCGCACAATTGCAGCCAACAGTGAGAACATTTTCAGAAGTTTAAATACTATGAAGATAAACAAGCAGAGCAATAAAGGTTTATTAACACTTCTAACATGAAGAAACAAACTGGATTCCCAACCATCCCAGTGTCATATACAACCCACAGAGCAAAGGATTGTGTTAAGGAAGGAACGCTGCAAAATTACTAATGTAATTGTACTCTTCATTATTACATATATATAGAATGAAGACTATGCCTGAAATTTAATTTAGACAGCTACTACAGAAATAATGAAACCTGTTTCCTGTCTAGCTTACTACGTGATTTTCTCTTACACATCCCACACTAAAGGATCAGTGCCAATAAGAAAAGGATTCAATGTGATATATAACATATGTAAAAATGTGACTATATGTTCAGTTTCCTGTTTCCTGCTGTGGATGTAGTAGAAGACAACAAAAGACAGTATGAAATTTGTTCTTGTCAATATGTGTGGTAGCTCTCAAAGCAATTGGCAAACACTGCAATACATATAGTACATTAACACTGTTTTTACACAAACAATACTTGTACAGAAATGTTTACATACTCAAATACGAAGTTTTTGGATAACATCACATTTATCTAATAACCTATTTATTTATTTATTTATTTATTTGTAGTTCACTTAATAGCACTGTTAGTAACTGAACCTATGTTGTGCGTTCAAGTTCTAAGGTCTCCGATTTTTTTTCTCACACAATAATCATACAAAAAATTTGAAACTTCTGTCACTTTTCAACGTAATCTCCCTGCAGCCATACACATTTTTCGCAACGTTGACGCCATGATTCCATGGCCGCTGCGAACGCTTCTGTAGGAGTCTGTTTTCACCACTGGAAAAATGCCGATGCAATAGCGGCACGACTGGTGAATGTGCGACCATGGAGACTGTTTTTCATCATTGGGAAAAGCCAAAAATCGCTAGGAGCCAGGTCAGGTGAGTAGGGAGCATGAGAAACCACTTCAAGTTCTTTTCACGAAGAAACTGCTGTGTTGCCTACACCCGATGCTCTGGTGCATTGTCCTGGTGAAAGAGCACACATGCAGCCTTTTCTGGCCATTTTTCTCGCAGTGCTGGAGAGAGCTTGTTCTTCAAAACATCTTGGTAGGATGCACCTGTCACTGTAGTGCCCTCTGGACCGCAATGAGTAAGGATTACGCCATCACTATCCCAAAACATGGCCACCATTTTTCAGCACTGGCGCTTACCCAAAATATTTTTGGTGGCAGTGAGTCCGTGTGCTTCCATTGAGCTGACTGGCACTTCCTTTCATGATTAAAAACGGCATCCATGTCTCATCCATTGACACAGTTGATGAAAAGAAAGTCCCATTCATGCCTTCATCATGTGTCAACATCACCTGGCAAATTGCTATGCATGCAGCCTTGTGGTCGTCCGCCAGCATTCGTGGCACCCACCTGGAGGACACTTTCCGCATTCGCAGGTCTTCATGCAGGATTTTGTGCACAGATCCCAGGGAAATGCCAACTTTGGAGCCGATGTTTTCCACACTCAATCAGCAATCCTCCAAAACAACTTTCTCAACTCGCTCGACCATGTTGTCAGACCGGCTGGTGCGAGGCCAAGATTGTTTTGGTTCGTTGTCACATGACGTTCGGCCTTGTTTGAACTGTCGCACCCACGAACGCACATTTTTCACATTCATGACACCATCACCACACGTCTCACTCAACTGGTGATGAATTTCAATGGGTGTCGCACCACGCAAGTGGAGAAAACGAATAAATACTCACTGTTCTTGTAACGAAAACGTCGCCATTTTAAGTATCAAAAACACTCCTCACACTCGCCACCACCACTAGAGTTCTGTGTGCCGTACAGTGCTGCCATCTCGGTCACACATTCACAAAGAGTGCACACGTATTTTAAACTAAACTGCATGTGTCTATCTGCTCCCAGTCCTGAGAAAAAAAATCGGAGACCTTATAACTTGAACGCCCCTTGTAATAACAAAACAACCAAAGAAAACAATAAAAGTTAACACTTCTATACAGGGAAACTGATCTACCCAGAACCAGCTAATTAAACTGCATTAACAACCTGTGATCATACCAGTTATAGTTAACTGATGAAATTTCTCAGTACATCACTTACTACATACACCATGCACATTTATATTATCATCTAAAATATTAAATATGTACATGGATATATCCATAGAAAGTCATTAATATAACAGAGAAATGTTGAGGCCTTTCAAAATTCTCATTCTTCTAGGATATCAGTAATAACATTAAAACATTGGACATGAGGTTCTCATGGCAATGACTATATGGCTGCAAAGATTATCATCTTATGCAATAGTCTGGCAAAAGTTTACTGACGTTTTAAAGGAACATACTGCCTCCATCTGCAGAGTGAAGGAGTAAGTCAAGCATGAAACAAACAGCAAGTTGAGCGAACTGTACAGGAAAACTACAGTCAGATATAGGCTTTGATAGAAGCCTAGTAACCAACAGAAGCAAAGAGATGAGTACAAGAATACAGAACATCCCAACACTGCAGAAAGGATAGCTTTGCCCATGCACATCATGGAAACCTCTCACCTACTGTCTGAAAGAATGTACAAAGCCTTCCTTACAGGACTTCTTGAGGTCAGGTTCTCCATCATGCTAGTAGGTTCATTCATACTGCCTTCTTTGAGACACCCGTCTGGCTGAGCTCTCCTGATACTTTTCCTGCAGCAGCATCTTTTCATCAGTGTTCCTCGTAGGTCTTTCTGCAGCAGCAGCTTCAACTCCCACCAAACTACTTACAGCCTCTGCTGCTTTCCAGACCCAGGTCTTACACTGGTCACTCATGTCAATTTTCTCTTGCCTTCCATCTCTCCACTTTTGCAAATATGGCCCTCTTCATTGCCATGTTCCTTTACCCCTCTCCTTGCTCCTACTGGTTATCTCTGGGCTCCAATCTAGTCCTGTATCTAACCATGTGTTCCTCTCCTAGCATAAAGCACTTGGCTTGCTACTTGCTGGCATATTTTACTCTTTGACCCTGAAGACAGAGGGAGCACATTTCTCCAGAATGTTGGTAAACTCCTACCAAGTTACAAGTCATCGCATCCCAGAAGCTGTATTCTTCAAAATAAAAAAAAAAAAAAGTCTCTCATGGGGGGTAGTTCAAGAAAACAGTGAGTCAAAGAATACAGTACTTCATAATATGCATGACTAGGGAGTACACATTTCAATAATGAAAATGGGGGAAATTTTACAAGCTACAGATTTACTGGTGGAAATTTCAAATTTAAATTTCAGTACATCTAATGGAATACTTACTGCTAGCAATGGACAACAGCCCCACTGTCCAAAACCCCGAGGGCAGCACGTGTCACCGGCTGGGCAAGACTGACGACCTCCTGGGCAGAGTGTATTGACTGATATTCGTTTTACAGGTTTCAGAGTATTGTCTGCCATTTCCTGTGATCAGTATTTGCAAAATGTATGAGTAACTACCAGACCCTAACACTTACTTCCATGAATCATACAACTAAATAAATGTGCAAGCTCACTTTTCCTTTCTATTTGGCCTCCCTACGTCTTACTATACATTTCTTCAGTTCACCTTAATTATCTACTCAGTCATTACCACTTTGTTTTCAAAGTCAACACATTTCTGTTGCAAGCGTGTTCAGAATGTTTAATTTCATTTCACTTATGCTATCTGCAATCATACAACACACACAAAACACATCAATACTACAACTGAACCCCCTTGAATATTTTGTTCACATCTGCACAGTTCATTTTCAAATTCCACAAATTAAATGATAAACACAATATGAATAGAAATTAATACTACAACTGAACAACTTTGAGACACATATCAGCAAAACCATTCATGTTACATTACAAGGCTAGGGAAAGTGTGATAGGACTCTGAAACGTTACTAACAATAACATTCATCATTAATAATGATCTTACATAATTCTCTCCTACAACTGAGCTTGGAAACACTAGCAATATACCAGCCTAATTACTGCACCCTTTAACTTCATTCCAAGCATATACTTGTCCATGAAGTTTCAGTCTTCTTTATTACTGCATCAGCATCCTCGTGTTTCACGTCCAAAGCCATATTATGAATTTAAGGAAAGAAAAAGTGGCCACAACAATACATTACTAGAAAACCATATTAAAGATCTTACAAGCGAGAAAGAGGAAGAGTAAACTACACTATAAAACAGACCAACAGATCCAACATCAGACAAGAAATCTTGAGAGTAATTATGTGCCACATTACTGAATGGTGTCTGTACAAGAAATTTGTAAAAACTCCTTTACTGAGGTCACTCTACAGAAAACAGTGCAGGATTTCGATCTCTTTCTTTCGAAGATTTTAAGTTTTCCTTATTTATGAAATCACATGTTAAATATTGTGAATATTTTTATGGTTCCATGTCCAGTGTAATATGGACAAAGTGCTACTTCCCAATATTTAGTGAATTTTGATTTAATATATAACCAGCACCGAACAAAAGAAAGTTTAACTTCCAGGATTTATACCTCGATTTTATGACACTGTGTTTGAAACAACAATAAATATTGTTACAAATATTACGTTTCTGAACAATATCACCCTGTTTTTAAGTAAAGCACAACATTTCAGAGATTGGATTCTGCCTCCATCTTCAGGTAAAACCTACAAAGTTGAACTCAATCGAAAGAGCTAGTTCCTATCTTTCGCCACCTGCACCAACTTAACATAGGGTACAAAAACCAAGCACAGCACTGCTGGAGCATTATAAATGGGAGTTGTTCAACCACCCTCCTTACAGCCCCCAATCTTGCTTCGAGTGACTACCACTTCTACTGGTTGCAATCACAGTGCTTTAACAATAATGAGGAGTTGATGGCAAGAATCAAAATTTGGCTGAGCTCATAGCTGGCAGACTTCTTTGAAACAAGCATACAAGAACTTATTCCCCAATAGAAAGAATGCCTGTTCCAGCAGTGACTATAGTGAGAAGCAGATTAAGTATATACATATTTTTTGTACATAATAACTTTTTTTTTTAATTTCGTTTTGTTAACAGCTCACCAGAGGTTACTTTCAGAATAGCCCTCCTCCATCTTCCATTCAAGTATTATAACAAAGGATTTCATACACAAAAAAGAAGACATTAAAATTAGTGGCACTTATAAAATGCTCAGGACATACCGGCTGACACCATCCTCCTGGGGTACAAGCATACTGTGAAGGACAGCAAGTTCTATGGTCTTGGCAGCATACAGCATCAGGAAGAGGACAAGATCCATACACATTCTGAGAAATCTCACAACACGTATCTGAATCACTGACCTGGGATCCATCAGAGCAGATTTGATTCGTACGCTCCATCAAGCCTTGATATTGAAGGAAGAAAAAAAAACAACTTTTACACTCTGACGACAAATTATGTTCAGAGTAAAACTGCTCGAGGAAAAGGAAAATAACCTGTAATACAAAACTCTTACATCCTTCCTATGGCACTTCATTTTTTGTTCTGTATCCATAATGAAAAGTATGTCACAAATATACCGAAATAATTTAGTTATTAGAGTGAGTCATTACATACTTATAGATTACGAAGAAAAATCACTAAGACCACATCAGTGGCAAAGGTGTGGTCTTACTGGCAACTACAGCTCAAACAAGTAAGTCAGCGATATATAGAAAACTCTAGAATAAATTATATGATGCTCAATTTACATACTGATGCAAGCAAGAGCCATTAATTAACAGTAACTTATTCCTGTGTATAATTTTCACCAGCAAAATACCATCATTAAATAAGCCATGTATGTTAATCATTAAAACATCAATAAATATTTAATACAAAATCTATAACTTTCTGATTTACCTCCATACAAAATTCCAGTAGTTTGTCAGTTATAGTAAAACATGTGGTTAGGTTCACTCACTCATGGAGCTGAATCCTTCTTCAGAAGCCACCAATTGTGCAGCTACTAAAGAACTTCCCAGAACTTTACGGAACCCACAGGTACATTACCATGCTCACAAGAGCCTCCAACGGCCCCTATCCTGAGCCAGATCAATCTAATCTATACAATCCCATCCTATCTTTCTAAGATCCATTTTAATATTGTTCACCCACCTATGTCTTGGTCTTCCCAGTGGTCACCTTCCTTCCGGCTTTCCCACCAATATTCTATATGCATTCCTCCTCTTCCCCATTTGTTCTACATGCCCTGCACATCTCATCCTCCTTGACTTGATCATTCTCATTATACTTCGAGAAGAGTACAAGTTATAAAGCTCCTCATTATGCAGTTTTCTTCAACCTCTTGTCACTTCACCTCTCTTCAGTTCAAATATTATCAACACCCTGTTCTCAAACACTCTCAATCTATGTTCCTCCCTTAAGGACAGAGACCAAGTTTCACACCCATAGGGACCACAGGCAAGATTACAGTTTTGTATATTCCAATTTTTATGTTTTTAGACAGCAGATGAGAAGACAAATAGTTCTGGACTGAATGGTAGTAAGAAATACCAAAGTTCAATCTCCTCTTAGTTTCCTCCTGAATCAGGTTTTCATTTGTTGTACATCATTCCCAAATATCTGAACTGTGCCACATTTTCAAAACGTCTCCTATCTTTATGTCAAGATTTTGCCCTGTGTTTTGGTGATGAGACAGCAACATATACTTAGTTTTCTGTGTTTACTTCTAAACCAACTTCTTTACTCGCATCAATTAAAGTTTGTGTTTTTCTTTATGATATCTATATTAACAACCAGCAGATTCACATCATCAGCATATGCCAAAAGTTGATGTGTCCTATTTAATTTCAGTCCCACCTGGTTTTCTTGAACCTTCCTAATGGCATATTCTAAAGCGAAGTTGAAAATCAGTGGTGATAAAGTATCTGTTTTAGACCATTCTGGATAGGAAAATTATCAGACAAATGTTTACCTACATGGACTTTACCACGTTTTTTTTAACATATTTTAATCAGCCTGACTAGTTTCATGGGTATCCCAAACTCTATCAGAATAATGCACAATACTTCCCTCCTACCTGAATAATAGGCTTTCTTGAAGTCTATGAATAGCTGATGTACTGTCTCATCGTACTCCCATTTTTTCTCCAATATCTGACGAATGCAAAAGTTCTAATCTGTATTTGATCTGTTATGTCGAAATCCATACTGATGATCCCCAATAATTTCATCTAAGCATGGACTTAACCTTGAGAGAAGAATATTGGATAAAATTTTGAATGGCGATGATACCAGTGATATCCTACAATAATTACTACAGTCAGTTTTATCACCCTTCTTGCGAACTGGTACAATAATACAGGGTGTGCCAGACTCAATTAGGCAGTTTTTCATCATTAATAACTAACCAATCCAACAACACACGGGATAATGGGAAAGTACCTTTTGTTGTCGATAGATGGCAGCATCATACGGTATGCTGTGAATGAGGTCAATACTCTGCCTACTTAGTGCGCATCGAGGAAACATCATGGCCGGTATACGGTTGTCTATCGAGCAACGTGTAAAATGTGTGCGCCTTTTCTCAGTTACTAACAATGTATCAGAAGTCCAGCGCAGGATGTCGGAAGAGTTTGGACCCCCAGCAGTCCACAGGGACACTATCGTCCGAATAAACAAGCAGTTTGATGAAACTGCCAGTGCTTTGAATCCCAAGCATCCTGGTCAGCCAAGAACTGTCCGAACTGCTGACACACAAGCACGTGTCACTGCGGAACTGGCATCATCTCCTCAGAAATCGAAGTCTACCCGCCGTTTGTCAGCTCTACTGGACATTTCGAGGACAAGTTTGCGGAGAGTTTTGAGTGACATGAAGCTAACGCCATACCATCCACGGCTTATTCATGTTCTTAACGAGGACGACTTCGACAGGCAACTTGAGTTCGCCGAGTTGATGCTGACCAAGTTTCAGGAGAACCCTGACCTTATCCAGAATATTGTCTGGACTGATGAGGCCAAATTTGACACATCAGGATCGGTCAACAGACACAACTGCGTGTTTTGGCGGCCAGAGAACCCCAGTGCCACCATTGAATACAATTTCCAGTCCCCGGGAGTGATGGTGTGGGGCGACGAGATGTACAAAGGACTGATTGGCCCGTTCTTCCTTGAGGGTTGCATCACGGGGGAACCTACCTAAAGTTGCTGAGGGAAAGTGTCATCCCAGAACTTCAGAGGAGAGAGAACTTTGATGAACTGTGGTGGCAGCAAGATGGGGCCCCACCACACTTCGCCAATATTGTTCGGGCGTTCTTGCATCAAGTTTTCCTCAACGCTGGATTGGCCGTCGAGGGCCTGTGGAGTGGCCAGCCCGATCGCCCGACATCACCCACCAGACTTTTTCCTTTGGGGTTACCGCAAAGACAAGGTGTATGCTAATCCCACTGACAGTGTGAAACATCTGCGTGAGGTGACTGTTCAGGAGTTCAATAAAGTTCCGGTGAATATGTGTAGAAAGGCGTGTGAAAATGTTGCTTTGCGTCTGCAAGCCTGTGTTGACTTAGGTGGTGCCCAGGTTGACCAGCATCTTGAAAATCGATGACTTATGTGTGTGCGATTCCATTTTTGTAACCACTGCAATTGTTAACATTTATCAATAAAAATAACATATAATCAAATACTGCCTAATTGAGTCTGGCCCATCCTGTAGATTCCTTCCACTGATCAGGCAATTTTTCCTTATGCCATATAAAAGTAATTAGCTTATGGATCTTAGAACGTAATAGTTCACCTCCTGCTTGAACAAGATCTGCCGGAATTTGATTACTACTTGGCAATTTATACCTTTTCAATTTTTCAGTAGCAATTTCAACCTCAAAAGGGCTAGGATCAGGTAATAACGATTCTGCTGTGTGCATTTTTATCTGCCTAACCCTATGTACATTCAATAATGGAGAGAAGTAGTTCTTCCGCCTATTCAAAATGATGTGGGAATCAGCAGGCAGATCACTATTCTCATCCTTAACTAAGTTACTTCTAGGTTGGTAACCACTCTTGAAATCATTTATTCCTCTATACAGGTCTCTTAACATTTCTGTTCTTCCTGTATACAGGAAGACCACACCAAAAACACATATACAAGGTGTGGCAATAAAGAAACCGGATTACTTTTATGACTCATTTCCGGCCACGTCATTGACGAAGAGGAGGGTAGGGCATTGACCCTTGGACTTCCCTCTACCGTCACACAAAGTTTCATTCACGTGCATCGGTTAGTCTGGCCGCGACCATTGTTAGAAGCGGATCGTGTTTCTGAGCTCCGTCGGAATAATGCTGAGTGCTAATGCAGAACAACGTGCTAACATCAAATTCCTCACAAAACTTGGAAAATCTGCCACTGAAACTTACAATTTGTTGACAGAAGTATATGGTGATCAGTGTCTATCTCGCACGCAAGTTTTCGAGTGGTTTAAGAAGTTTATGGAGGGTAGGAAAAACGTCGGGAACGATCCAAA